GGGTCATGTTGAGGTTTAGAGAAAATTATAATTTATATCTTAAAGGGCATTTGGACCCCTAGTCAATTATGGGTCAATCTGGATCCACCAAAGTATAATTTAATGTTCAACATATCATAATAAGGGTTATAGATATGTTCAAGGATTTTGGGGAAGGTTCCAAGGTCAAACTCCACAAAGTGAAAGATTCAATGGCATAGGTTGTAAACCTTTGAAGGTTTTGTAGCATTTTGATTTTAATTGAGTTTCTAGGGTTATAGGTCTCAGATTGAATTCAAATTTGGAGGGTTGACCCTAAGAACATGCATAATCAATATGCAATTGATAGAACATGAATAAAAAGTCATCTGGCCATATTTTGAAGTGATTGAAAAATCACTCAAAAAGGATTTCTAGACAAGGACCCTTATGCTTGAATTTTGGCTGGAAATTTAGATTTGAATGCAATTTTGGATTTGATTAACTGAGCTTGATTTATCCAGCTCAATCAAAATCAAATGGATGATTGTGATTGATTGAATATGATTGAGGTTTAATTATTGAGGCTGGATTGAAGGTTGAAGTGAAGTTTGAATTGAAGAAGGGATTAAAACCTGTATTGATTGAGGCCTGGGTTGAAGTTTAGATTTAGTTCTAAATGATTGACAGCTAGATGATTGTAAACTATCAGATCAATAAACAAGAATCTGAATATATCCTGATGATCTCATACAAAAATGAAAGCTCAACAAAGGATATCAACTTAGCCGCACGACAAGCTCCAATTCTCCGATCTTCTGCACTTGGATTGACTTTAGGTCCTCCACTAAAAAAGACTTTGCTCAGTCTATTTTTTAGCCGTATACAGGTAGAGGGTCAGTCTACCTGGAGATGAATGATGGCTTGCAGATATCAGTGGGCTGGATGGATCGCGGCATGGAGGGGATCATCGAGCTGAATGCATCGTGGCTTGAAGGTTCGGTAGCTTGGATGAAGTCGATGACTCAAAAAAGCACGGACGCCTCAAGCAAGAGGTCCCAAATCTATCTCCCTCTTGAATCTTTTCTGCTCGGTCTTGCTCGGGATACACGAAAGCAGAAAAAAATATTTAGGAAAATATGAAGATCTTGTCGTAGTACACTTTATTTGGAAGATATGAAATTTTAATCAATTTCAGAAATTACTACGAGCATATTTGATATCTGAAAATTTCCAACTTCAGGTTTTAGAATGAGAAAACATGAGCATGGGATGAAAAATAAATTTAGAAAGAAATTATTTATCCAAATAATGATCAATTATTTACCTAATTTAGTGCAAACTAAATTAGGCAAGCTTAGGGGGAAGATTGGCGAGCCATGCAAGATAGATTATCTTGAAAGTTTCGGTCAAGAGATTTAGGGGAAGAGGAAGAGGTGGCCAGCACATGGGAACGAAGAAGATGAAAACAACTCAAAGTTCCATAACATCTGACTCTTATATCAAATGATGATGTAAATGTTAATGGTAGAAAATATTTGTTTTTTTTTTTCTTTTCTTTCTTTAAATCAAAATTTACTTATAATATCTTTTTGTTATGTTGATGGAAACAATCTTCCAAGAGAGCAAACCAACACCATCGTAAGCTACTTGAAGTGTCAGCCAAGGCTTTCTTTTAGTGGGTGCTTGGAGGAGAGGGAGGGGCGAAAAGTATGATTAACAAAGGATAAAAACCGCTAGAAAAACTAAGATCCAAAGATTAATTTGCATGCATTAAATTGCATGTCAAGATTACTCACACGGGGATGTGATCTTCACCTTTAAGCCCTTCTGCATTGAACTTGTCGTCATTGCTCAATTTCCAAAGATGCAATTGATGAGAAATAAATAAGAGGCATGGTAGAGAGGAGAGAGGCTAAAAGTTTCCCATGTAGGAATACACTAGGTTTTCATGATATAATCTCAATAATTTTAATTCATTAATTTTTTATTTCCATCACAGAAATAGTCCCTTAATTATTAGATACACCGCTCACAAAAATGAGAAATTATTCTGTACAGACACCAGACGTAACTCTACGTCCGAATGCCGCGGTATTGAGCGGTACTAATGCTCGGTACCGAGTACCGAGCAATACTGAGCCGCGGTACATTAAAAGGATAATGTGGTGCATTTTTATTGTTTTCTAGTCTTCATTCGGTGTCCGCACAGAATAATTTTTCCACAAAACTTGCCTAGAATGTCTTGAGGCGGGAACATTTATTCCAAAGCCTGCATTATTTGAAAACGCAGGCAATATCCATGTCAACCTTCCGTGCAGCTTATTTCTAAAGCCTTTTGTCCAAATTTGGTAATCTAAGAACATCTATTAGTATTGATGTGCAGGCAAAGCCTTATCTGCAAGCAGGAGCATTGGAGATTGTTGATGAAAACTTGAAGGGTGGTTTTGACGTGGAAAGCATGAAAAAGGTGGCTTCAATTGCCGTAAGATGTGTGGAGAGAGAAGCGCCACACAGACCAACAATGTCTGAGGTTCTAATTGAGTTGAAAGAGGCCTACAGTATTCAGCTCACCTTCCTTTCAGCTGGAGGACTCTACTGAACTCTTCTTGGATCTTGTAGCGCTTTTTGTTTAACGAGACTTCGACTTCGTTTGGAATGGCTTTCTTACTGTTTCTTAAAGTAGCTTTTTCATATAAAATTTTTAATTTTTGTATGAAAAAATTGCTTTCAGAAGCAGTAAGAAAGTCGTCCCAAACGAAACCTTCATCATTGAAAGGTTTTACATACTTGACGATGAAAAACAATATTAACAATATTCTTAAATTAGGGTTTGCAATCTCTTTACCTTTCTTTTCCATTACCTTGTGGAGATACTCTTTTTCATCCTATAACTTCAAATTTTTGACATTCCTCTCAGTTATTCATTTGAGACAAGTAGGTTTCAAAAAATGGAGCAAGTTTTTGAATTATTGAATGCTACTTAGTGGTGTAAATGAGTCAAGCCGTGCGTGAGTGTGGAGTCGAGTCTTATATTGATCAATGACTAATGATCTAATAATCTCATTAAGCCAGAGTTGATTTGGAGCTAATATTATCGATCTATTTATTTAAAAATGTTAAATTTCTACATCATTTTCACATTTTATGGCTCCATTGTAGCTCTTCAGCATTCACTTTCGGATATTAAATTCATGTGTAAAGATAAAATCCTAAAAAAATCATAAATGTATTAGAGAATCATCTACATTATTGGGGATTTTTTTTCCTATTACTATGATATTGTTGAAGCTGCAATCACATATTTCAAAAAAGATTTTTAACTCAACTAAGCCTAACTCTAGTATTGTTCTTCAAGTTAAGTTGGCTAGTGATATGATGCCTTCACATCTCATCTCTATGCTTATTGCTCTAATTATTGGTGTTGAAATAAAAAAAAATTATTATTTTTTCTTTTAATATGTTCACTTTTGATTTTTGCCAAATGTTGGGAGATGATTGATGAGCATGTCTGTAAGCCTATTAAACATTTTTTTTTTTTTTTTACTGAAAAGCTATCTTCCTAGAAAAATCAAAGCCATAGGTATTACCCTCATTTCTAAATCTTACCATGATAGCAATATATCTGATTATTTACCATTATCTTTATGCAACATATTTTATAAAATCATAGTCTCAATACTCAATTACATCAAGCCTAATATTATAATTCCAAGTTTAGTTGGCTTCCTCCATAATAGAATCTCTAGAGATAACATAATATTGGTCAAAGAGATTTTAGTAAATTTTTAAAATGATAAAAAAGAGTTTTTTCTATGCTAAATTAGATATATTCAAAACTTTTGATACAATATAAGATATTATCTTAATAAGAGGCTACACCCAAAAAAGTTTCCCTGATATTTTTATTGGCTAGATCAAATCATGTATTGGAAATATTAATTATTCTATTAGTATTAATAATAATCTTGTGTGTTTTTTCAGCTCGTCTAGTTGGTTAAGGCAAGAAAGTTCACTTTGTCCTTGCTTATTTTGTATTGAAATGGAGTCTCTCAAATCTCTTTGACAATGCCAATCTTTAAGTAGAGAGAGAGAGGAAGAGATATGAAGAGGAAAAATTTTCGAATTAGGAAGAATGTTTAGTCTTTTTGGGGAGTTATTTTGTGTGTTTTATTAAGAAGGTTGGAATTAGGATTAGAGTTCTCTTAATTGTTTGCTAAAATTCTGAGTTTTCCTTGATGTTCTTGAATAGAGGATCAATTGTATCTTGTTATTTTCTTCTTGTTCTCATTAATTCCTACCATCTATTTGTTATTTTTCTTGAGTTTGATTGGAGATTTGTAGTAAAATCTCGCTAAAACTCAAATTTCTTGTAAGATTGCTTGAGATCAACAAGGTTTTCCTATCACATACATCCCTTGGCCTTCAGGCAATCGTTGATGTCCTTGTCACAATCATAGCATACTTAATTTCATGAGAGTTGGGTAATTTTTTACCATTATAAGCCCACATTTTGAATTTTTCAGATGAAGCTTCAATTGTTTTTTTTTTTTCTTTTGATTCCTTGCTTCTTTTTGAGCCCCGCTGTTGTTGCTACAGCTCATGAATTTTTGTATAATCTGTTTGTGAATTATATTATCTGAGACTATTTCACTTGTCATTAAGCCTTCTAGTGAATGAATAATACTCAACTGTAAAATAGTTAACAGAAGATATCCTGCTCAAATGCACAGTTATGCGTAAGTCTCAGTTTAGGATGCCCAATTATACCATCTAGCTATCCCTGAAAATGGACTGGGCTACCTTATCGCGCCCCCCGCAAAAAAATGAGTGATGATATAAACCCAATAAGGGAAATTTACATACCAGTGCTATTTACATATCTAACATCTAAAACATTAATATTACATGTCTGCCATCCATATACAACTTTAATATCAAATATATCACTCCTATAATTCATTTCTATTATTCATACCATCTTATAAACTTTAATATTTCATTTCATTCATCTAAATTTGTTCTATGGGTGGTAGACATATAATATTAATGTTTTAGAGGTTAGATATGAAAATAGTATGAAATATAGTGGTATGCATGTAAATATCCCAACACAAATAAATGTTTGGTTCACACTGAACTCATCCATGATTGTTCATCATGAAGACTAGCACCAAAGTTCAATTGACCATTGAAAAGCATAGTGCGTGGCCTTTTATTCATCTGTTGAATTCGGTTCCCAGATTTCGCTTCCGGGCATGCTCCAGTTATTTCAGACAGGAAAGGAAGATGGAGAGGTTCAATTGAGAAGCCCAAGCATCCTTGGGTTTCCCTGTTTGCGAATTCTGGGGATTTTTGTTTGCTTGATTCAATCTCATTTGTTCTAAGATTTTGATCCACAAGAGCGTTGCATGCTCTTTCCAGAATAGTTTCAAGGTACTTACCCTGCGCTTCAATCCGTAGTTGAAGGCTTCGCTGTACCTGGAGGGACAAAAATGATTAAGGTGAAATTAAGGTTTCATTTGGGATGAAAGCAATTTTTTAGTACAAAAAATTAAAAAGCTGCTTTAAGCAGCAAAGAAAGCTGTCCCAAACGAAGCCTAACTCTACAATCAACCTGTTCTAATTCGAGCAAGTTTCAAAGCTATTATTAAGATGCAACCATTGAGAGAAGCTTTCTTTTGGAGAGTTTGCTTACATATCATATAATTTTCATGTATTTATACATCAAATATTTAAATTTTTGTATTTATATATATAGTATCTTATCACACTAAAATATATGCAGGAAAATCTATCCTTCATTAGAAGTATTTTTATGTGGTGTAGAGCTTATGATATTGAACGAGTAAATATATAAAAAATTTAAGCATTAGATATATAAATGTATAAAAATTCTGTGGCATGTTCGTAATTTCTTTTTTATATATGTTCCTACATGAGCTTTTGGGTGTATAAATACATGTTCATCAACACAAAAAACAAGCAAATACAAACTTGGGTTGCACATCACATTAGGCTGTTTTCAACATTGTTGCAGCTATTTAGAATTTTCCAAAAATAACATTGTTGCGTGCTAGAAAATACGCAGCGGTAGAGTTTGTAAATTCGCATCCGAGCGTTGCACGTAAATTTAACACACAAACAGTAACGAGAATATGAACACCGGGATTTATACGTGGAAAACCCAAAAAGGGAAAAAACCACGGGGTCTTGCCCAGTTGTAAAATTCTACTAGTATTTTTGTAAATTACAAGAAACTGATTCGTCCCACAAATCGGGACGATCAGATTACAACTTGAAACAAATTTACAAAGTTTTGCAGAATCTCGTCGTTTCCCGAAAATCCGGCAGAGTTCCGGCGTATTCAGGTGGCGGGAAGAGCTCCGGCGGTGGTCGAGGAGAAGAGGATTCGCCTTTTCCCCTTTTCCCCTTTTCCTTCTTCTTCTCTCTTTACTTGAGTCCCCCTTGTGAAGAATGAGGGCTCTATTTATAGTTTTTCTAGAGTGGCATGGCTCGTAAATAGGTGTGAGATCACGGGCGAATAGGGAGTGGTTTGAATGGACGGCCGATATCGAACCCTTCGATCGTGCACCGTTCGTTAGACATTTGGGGGCCTTAATGATGTCGGAATTCGGCGATCTTGGGCTCGTTGGATTCGTCTCGTCGAGCCGCTCGATTCGAGTATAAGCTCGTTAAAATCGGAGACCGTTTGGTAACTCAAATTGCGGTTTGAACCTTCCAACAGCGCTTCGGGCCCTTGATTAGGACTCATTTGGGCTCGGATTGGGTTGATCTTAGTGTCGTTGAGTTTGTATTTCCGAGACGCTCAGTTTGACTATAAGCTCGTTGAAATCGGAGTTCGGGTGCTCCCGGAATTAATTTTTAAAGTTTCCAACTAGCTTTTGCCTCGAGATTCGTGCCCGATCAAGCTAAATTTGGTGATGCCGTATCAAACATGTAGAGCTGCAAATGAACCATGCATTTGACTAGCTACTCGCGGCTCGGCTCGATAAGAACTCGTTCATGTTCGTTTGATAAGGTAGACGAACGAGCTTGAAAACTTTTGATAAATACTCAATAGTTAAATAAATGAGCTTGAACAACTTGGCGTTCGGTTCGTTTATATTCATAAACAATATCGTTTAATGTTCCTGAACAAGCTAATTCTTTAAGAGGCTAGATTAGAGTTCGACAAAGAAGCTCGATTACAACTATATTAGATTTAATAATTCAATAATTTATTTTTACTAATTCAGTCTAAAATCATTTAATAATTTATTTTTATTTACCGCATCCACCTAAAATCATGAACAACCCACTCTTCGAACAAATATAAGATGAAGCATAGATCGTCATACATTGTTTGTTCGTGAATGTGTTTACTTGGTAGCTCAAAAACACTAATTAGATATGTTCATGAGCGGGCTCATTTGATAGCTCAAAAATACTCATTAAATATTTTCGTGAACTTGAATCGAATTTGAACAAGCTGATAATAAACGAACTCAAACATGAACACGCACATACTTGGCTCGACTCAGTTCGTTCGCAGCCCTAATTACGGGTAACCTGATAGATCATCATATTCATCAGGTTTATCTCGTGAATAAATCCGTGTTGACTTTATAAACTGTTTTACTTTTTATTCCTATTTAGAACTGCCTTCAATTTTCAATTACAGTTTAATTGAATCTTTTGCCCAACTTCCTAAAATGTCAATTTTTTGTTCTGCTGAGGTTGGTAGACGGCAGAAATTTAAATTTGTTCAGTAGTAGGAATTTTCAATATGACAGATGAGCAAACTAACCTCAAGTTGTTCATGCAGTCTTCTCTGAAGTTCCATTTGTACTCTCATTGCCTCATTGCACCCACTGCCAGGGAATGAGAGATTAGATGTTTTAATAAGAATTGAAAATCGAATAGAAAATTAAAGTTGAACTTACTCGTTATGTTCTGGAGTTGCAAGCGTAGATGTTGCGCATGTACTTCCCTGACTTTCCACAGCAGCAGAGACTGCATTCCCTAGGCAAACAGAAATAAGTATAATTACTAACATCGAAGCAAGTTAAAAAAAAAAAGTTATTCTGCATCTTGAAAATATCAAAGACTTGCAATAAAAAAAGCTCTTAATCAACATATGCTCTATTAAGCTGTCAATATCACCTTCCAAATGGAAATTATCCTCTTTTTTTGCACCTGAAATTTCACATTTTTGCAATTTGATATTGCTGCTTGCATGAATTTTGTTGTGGAAAAATGTTTGGTCAATTTATAAACATGACAAAAAAATAGCAGAAAAATAGAAGAAGAAAAACTCATAAAATATTATTGTTTAGCAGTTGTAGTTACTAGAGCTGATTATGTTAGGTGAAATTGAACAGCTTTTAATTTGGATTTTTATTAATTTATACCAGTTTTAGACCTGTAGAGCCTTCCATAAAACTCAGTGATTGTGATTTATCTAGTGATACATATAGTTTATTTGGGAAAAAGATCAAACTACTTAAACCCAGAAAAACTGGGTCGCTTAAAGTTCCACATGGCCTGCTTCACAAAAAAAAAGTGTCTTGATAACAAAATTCTCTTATAGTCCAAGAAATCATTATATCTACAAACATTGAAAAGCAGCAAAGTCGGCATGTACTTGAGAGATGGAAAGTGGGGGAGAGAAATACCATCAATAGAGTTTTCAAGATCCTTTGATGATTGCTTCCCCATTCTGTATTTCTGTAAAATGAGCAATTTAAAATGTTAAGAAAGATGAGCTTTTGTTCCATGCAAAAGTACAGATGTCATAGCTTCATTGCAATTTTCACACGGGAGCTTTGTAAGACAAATAGAATGATCATTTCATTAAAAAATGCAAAATTTTAACTAGATATTATTCATAGAAATTGTCATCTGGCTTTGAAAGTCTCTAATGTTACATATATGCAAAGATGAGCAGTATGGAAGAATTTGCAACAATAAATAAGCTAAGTTATTTAGTTTCCTTGCAAATTATTCGAATAAACTTAGTGCTAGTTCAGAGGCAACCTGAAGATGACTCTTCAAATGATATAGTGTAAGTCCTTTTACATTCATGATCCTCAGTATGGCCTTTGGCGTTGCTTCTGCAAAAGAAGCCCGAAACAGGTATCAGATGTAAAACTCCAACCTTCTCTAGCTTGGAATTAAAAGAAGATCGATACATGTAAGAGAACTAATTAAAACTGCACATGGAATAACTTGCAAAGGAGAGAAGCACATGAAATAAAAATAAATGGCAAAAACAATCACATCAGAAATAAAGTAGTTCTGTTTACAATAAAATCAAAGTCAACCTCAGGAATCCAATGATCAAGTGCCGGTGATAACTTTCTACCCAATTAAAATTGATAAAGAATGCAATATTTACTTCCAATCATGAAACCAATATATATATAGTCAGCTTATTTCAGGTAGAATTATCTAATAAGCCACTTGTTTATATTTATTGATACATTATCAAAATCACGTTGATCGGGCATGAATCACGATGCATATTTAAATTAGAAATTTCCAAAATGAAATTGAGGGCCATCCTAAGTCTAATTATTTCATGCTTATAATCAAATTGAATGCTTCAATGAGACGAACCCAAATACCGAAAGTGGTCTGATACGAGTATGAATAAACTAAGCTATAGCACTTGAAGCATAATTGAAAACATCATGATATTAATTGGATGATCAAATGACCTTCAAATTTTGCATGCTTATAATCAAATTGAGTGTATCGATGAGACAAATCCAATGAGCCCAATATCATTTAATTATAACATTAGTAAGCTACAGAAATGCAAAAAAAATTATTATATGATCAAGGGAATCAATACGGGTCAACTGATAAAGTGTTACGGATTTTGGTTATATTTAATCGGGTAAGCCACTCTAAAAAATATATATATAGAAATAATTTCTCACTCTCTACATGAAGGAGTTGGAGGGAAGGGGGGATTGGTGTTGACTTGAAATTCAAGAGAGCTTATAGGCGATTGACTATAGTCCTCCAATCGTCGTCATCCAGCTACACTCATCCGACAACCATTGCTTGACTACACTCCCCCAATTACCATTGTTCTACTATGGTCATCTGACCACTGTCATCCACATCTGTCGCCTGATTATGCTCCTTAGACCATTGTTGCCCAACTATAATCCTCCTACTACCATCAATCAACTACGATCCTTCGATCATCGTCGCTTGACTACTATTTTCTGATCACCATTGTCCAACTACATTCCTTTGACCATTATCATTTGGCTACACCCACGCATTTTGACTTCATTATGTATGCTAATGCTTGACGTCATTTATAAGATTGATGCATGCCATCAACATCAATTAGGACTCCCAACACCATCATTAAAATTTATGCAAGATTACGTCTTTAGTCTCCCCTCCTTAAAAGAATTCGACCAACATACAACAAATGATCTCTTGAAAGTAATTCTTATGTCAAAGGGTTCTTCCAACTTCAACCATGAAAATGTACTATACAATGTATGTTTAATAAATTGAATCAGTATCTTCCCCCAAGAAAGGACATCATTTATAACCAATGAAAAACTAGTGGAATCAGTTTAACTAGGGTAGGCCCCATGATTTTTTTATTTTTTAAATTTTCACATAAAAATTCTAATGTCTCTTACAATTCTTGCACTCCTCTCTTATCTGTGTGTATAGTATCGTCATACAAATTGTTAAGGTAATTCTCTAGCTCTATATCGCTATGAATGTTCTAGCACGCAATACTTGAGTTTTTAGAACCTAAAGGAAAAGGCTATTCATGAGAAGCTTCAGCCAATGCATGCTCCAGGGGGGCTTTATACTCTGATACATGCTTGATAACATTATCTTATAAAGAGTTGCTACGAGCACTACCTACAAATCACAAAACTTCCTAGAAACCACAAGAATATGAAGATTACAAGTATTTCAGAAACAAATCTAATTAATCATCACATTATTTTAACCAAAAAAATGTCTAATCTAACTTAAGACTCATGCAGTTCATCCTTATTTCCTCAAAAAGTTGCTTAGTTTGTTAGTTCATATGGATGCATTTCATTTTTGCCACAGAACAGACTACGCAGGCCAGAGATAATTAAGGAAACAGTATGAGGAGGAAATCCTGTGATGATTCCTGCAGTCCTGCATATAAACTTCACCAGCAAACTCAACATGGATCATTGATAAACATGAGCATGGCACGTACTTGAAAAAACTTAGGCATACGTATTGGGGGTTCCTGTGGGACGGGCAATGGTAAAAGAGTGATGCTTTACTTACTCAAAATTTCAAATTTACCCTTGCATTAAATAATCATGCATCATAAATTTAATAATTATTTTTTTACATAATTAAATTGAGCAAAATAGGCAAGCACTACTAGACAATTTTATGCCATTTGTCAAGAATTATATTCATCTATGGGTTCAAGAAAAAAACAAGCAGCTAAACTTCATTCAAAATATTTATAAAAAGAAAAAAAAAGTGGCAAAAAATTTACATTGCCAAGTGGCACAATTGAACTGCCATATAGAACAATTTATACACGGCTCCATGGAATAGAAATGGGCAAAAAAAAAAGATCATATAGTACTGTAGAATAAATAGTATTTACATTTTATTAAACCTTTTCTATTTTTTAACACTAATAAATTTGATTTAATTGGGTACTTATAGTTTTAAGTTGAATTTATATTTCAGTATATTTACATTATTTTTATAGAAAATTGCTCATTCAATATTTTTTATCTTATATAATAAATAATAAATCATATCAATATTTTTTTCTTATTAATTACAAATAAGATAAAAATGTCTGCCGGTTATTATTAGCAATTGTAAGAAAAAGCATGCATTTAGGAAATATACAAAATTGCATACTGTTTCAAACCTGTAGAGAGAGCTAAAATACCTTTTCAACTTTCAGTTGAGCAGAACGAATAGTATTTATGCAAGCATTTTATCATTTAACGATTAGAAGGAAAAAAACATTACGAAGAAAAAAAATTACAGCAAGAAAAACACTTTCACTCCATAAATTACTTTACTCAGTCATAAAAATTTTCCCTTCAATTTAAAAAATGTACATTTTTATTTAATTATTTCTTTTTACAAAATCATACCAATAATGTCTCTCATCAAACATCAAAATTTATGTATTTTTTTAAGGCGACAAAATTTTATAATCAGTCAGTGAAAAGGATACATGAACAGACAGTTCCAAAGAACCATCTAAAGAAGCAAGGAATAAAACACACTGGATCGAAATAACTTGAAGCCAAAAGTGTAATATTTATCAAAGAGAAGAGAAACATACATTCAAACACCTACTAAGTCAAGAATGCCAATATCATCAAGAGATTTATTGTGTCTGGCTTGAAATTTAATAAACCTCATAGAATGAAGTAAAAATATATATTTGCATGTGCTTCCTCGAGAAAACACGAGTTGAAACATTTTATCCATTAAACCAATTAGACGTCTGATAGAATCTTGAGACTGAATAGAGCATGAATCATCAACAACCTCCAATTCAGAATAAACATGAATAGCATTGCGGAACAAAGCTCTAACGTCAAGGGATAAGAGAGAGTCTGAGTAACTAAGGGACCCTCAATAAGCCAAAAATATAATCCCCAAGAATGACACTTGAAGTATCAGTAGGACCAACAAACATATTTGATATACAAATGAAGGGGAATAGTGAAGATACTAACATCAAATAGACTAATAATAGCTACAAAAGGCATAGACATTAAAGAGGAATTTGTAGTTTCTAGAGCATGAAAACATTCTTTTTGGGGAGCATCTTCTAGAAAGTTGTTCAGTTCAATTTGATCATTAATATTTATCAAACATAAATCTTATGTTTTCGTAACACAATCAATAGTTATCCTTAATAAAAGGGCTCATGGAGGAGAATTTTCTAAATTCCGAATGAGCTCTAGAGGCAATTAGCATAATTATGACCAAGATTTTGCAAGGTTGTATGCAAAACCTCAAATTTTACTTTCTTCCAATAACCACGTGAAAGGTATGAATGCATATCTTCTCAATCGAAGGGGCATAAACGTATATTTCAATAAGAACACAGGCTGCAAGAGAGTGATCAATGTCGGGAGAGAAATGATAATAACATTCACTTGTATTGGTTTGCCAAGAACGGAATCGAATGGAAACAATGTAGATTGAACAATGTTGTGGACATAAAGACCAGAAAAATAACCCAAGGTGGGGTAATAGATGGCTCCTCACAAGTATCAAAATATGTAGATCTATGTATAATATGAAGAATAAGAGAAAAGTTCAAAATAATCTACTTCTAAATATAGTTAGATAAGGACATGATGTTGATAAGGAACTCCAAGAAGCATATGAGCATGATTGAGATAATCAGAATAAGAGAGGCGTGTTGGGAACAGGGCTTATTGTTAGTGGAAGGAGTCGTGTTTGGGCTTGTTTGCTGGCAATGACAGCATAGAGTTCTAAAGTGATTCAAGAGGGATGCAGGGGCACATTTTCTGATAAGTGGAGAATAGAATCTAATGGGAGAAGAGGAGATATGGGAGAAATTTGCAAATTGAAAAGAAGGATAACAAATTACTGAAATCAAGTGTAATATTTTATCCTTCTTTCACAGGGAGAAAAGAGAGGGTAGGATGTGGTGTGGGGCAGCTTTTTTTTTTTTTTCCTGAGGTCATATTTCATGGCATCTTACTTTATTATCATCAAAAACACAGGCAAAAGAATCGGCAAAGTCCTGACTCCGAATCAGTAAAATCAACATGATCGCAAAAGACTCATCAACATAATCTAAAAAAGGTTTTCCATTTCAACCAAAAATATTAATAAAACAGATAAGTACTTGGGAATTCGGCTTTCTAAATCTTCTCCGAGTACTGCAGTTTAATAAAGAATTTAAAATGTACGAAAAAAAAACACCATTCAATTCAAAAACACAGATGCACAAGCTATGCCATGGGATCAATATATATGACTTGAATATTTTCCTTTCCAACATATAAATAAAATTAGCAGAAAGTTATAATTAACTTATGGGAACAATCGACGAACTGAAAAAGAGCGAAGCTAGATTTCACTATTCTCAGTAATCGACTGTTGATATGTTGACTATTAACAAATACGATCAACAGCCAAGATGATGAATTGAATCAAAGGTACAGTTTAATCCATGAACCAAGAAACATAACTGAAAGCAAATTAAAGCGATATGAAACAAGCAAACTTATCATTCTGAAGACAAAATTATTCATTGTAGAAAATGGCTACATAAATCAGACAATAATCAAATTACGACAGGAAAGTGAACGCATTGGAGGGAGGGAGGGAGAAATAAGGTACGGGCTCACTGTCGGGGCCTCCGAGCTGGGCGACGGAATCGACGAAGCGATCGTGGAGCTCAGCCGTCCACCGGAGACGGGGTTTGGGATCCGAGGTGAGAACCAGGCTGGCGTCCGCCGGGAGACTCGTTCCTTCCAATCCTCCTCCATTCAAGTACATTCTCCGAAACCCTAAAATGATTCAGTGAGCAGAGGAGGAAATTGGAAGCGAAGTAGAAAAATGAGCTGAGGAAGGAGACGAGGGCAGTTAGGAGAGTCGGCCTGGCAATTTATATAGAAAACATTTTAGCCCCACCTCTTACGCTTTAATTTTTATTATAAAATATATTAAGATTAATTTTAAAATTGTTTAATTTATTTTTAAAATTATAAAAAATATTAATATAAATGGTATGATTTAAATTTATTTTATTATACTATATATCTAATATAAATTTAAACAAGATTATATCAAAATATTTAAACTGACAAAAACCTTTATAATAATTTTATTATTATTTTTTAATTAATCAAGCTAACTCACACCAGTGCTCGTACTCTCTCTCCTTTATTTATTTGTTAATAAAATTGTAAAATATGACAATTCTTTTTGTTGTTTTTTCGTTATTTACCAAATCACTATGATGTACTTTTTTATTATTTTAATATTTATTGGACTCCGGCTCTCAATTCTCAAAAATAAATTAAAATTTGTTATGGGGAATTTTGTAATATGATCATATTGTTTAATTGTTTATTGGTATTGAAGTTTTACCATCAAATTTTTTTGTTATTTAATAGTTTGAGCTAATTTAAAGACGAGTTAATAAATCTTATTAAATGAGAGTTGTGTGAATAGAGGCATAATTTTATAGCTTTAATTATGAAAAATCGACGTCACATAAATTTTATATGAAAACATAAGAAACGAATAGTTATGAGATGCCCGGTTAAATAATTTTTAATATAAAGTGAGATTTAAATTATATTAGGTGGTTTTAGCTAAGCTGGAAGAAGGAACCAATGTAAAGGTGAGAGACAATCATTATTAATTTTTTTAATATTAGTGATTGAATATATAAATAGTCTCATTTTTAGGGCAAAAATATCATGATAGGATGTTGCAGGTGGAAGCAACTAAGTATGGTCGATATGATCTCCATTACGAGGTGAAATAGACATTAACTAAATACAACAAATTAAGCTATTTTAGAGGGTTAGGTGAGGTTAGGGGTGTCAATATTTGACACGACCCATAAAATTTGACTCAAACCTGACTCGACCCAAAAATTCCGGGTTATGGTTGACCCGATTCGACCCATTTTGGAAAATCAGATTGGGTTCGGGTTGACCCGAAACTCGAACTCAACCCGGGAAAAGCATGCGCTGCTTTCTCGTCGCTTGCATATCGCCCTGACTGCAGTCACAGACTCGTCGTCGTTGCCAACTAATTGAGCAGTTGACGCCTCACCCCACCTGCACCCTTACGGTCCCAATTCGCCCTAACTGCGGTCACCAACGTAGACTCGCATGCTTCCATTTTTTGAATCAAAATGTGTGCATGGGTCGGGTCAGGTCAACCCGCGCAGTTCGGGTTTAGGTTGAAATACTTAACCTGTTTGCAAAAACGAATCGTCTTCTTGTTGGATCAACTGGTGTTGAGTCAGTTACATGCTAGACCCAAACTCGACCTGTGACCTAATTTTGACAGCCCTTGGTGAGGCCATTACTGTTGGTTGGAATGTTCATCTGCCTGGAGATGATGATAAACATCTTAGGGTTGAGGCTACATGATGTGAAAGTGGTGGATAAGATAACTTAACAAAATCATGATAGTGATGATGAGTAGTTAAAACGATACTCATTCTAAAGCTATAACATGAAGATCATGAGTAAGGGAAATATATAATTTAAATTTGAAGGCACTTGAGGGCAAGCGAGATAAATTAGATGATACATGACAAGCTAACAATTCCATGACTAGATTCATGATTAAAAACATAATAATTAGCCTATAATATTATTTTATTTTATTTTTATATTAGCACATAGAGGTGGCGGCTATATATTATTTGGAGGGAATTTCAAAATAAAATTACTTTAAATATAATTAATATTTTGTTTATTTTGTTACGCAATTAAGAATTTTAATATCAATTTGCGATATAATATCTCTTTGCTTGCTTAACAAAAGAATTTTAAAATTCTTTTTTTTTTTTCTCTGAAATGAAACTCTACAAAATGGCCATATAACTACATAAGACGACCCAATGTGCGAATAGTTTAATAGCTCAAATATTTTAAGAGATACGGCATTTACACAACTCTTCTTGGCCTATTGGTTGAAAGCTTAGGCTTCCAACTAAGAGGTCCAAGGTTCGAGTCCATGTGTATGCGTTGTGTATGTGAGTTTGCCTTAAATGGCCTAAATGTCCAAAAAAAAAAGGCATTTACACGCATTAGGTCGTCGTTTATCCGTTTATGTTGCTGAAAATTAGTGCAGTCGCGTGACCAGTGTTCACAAATCGTAATTACGTCTTGAATGTTAATATTTGAGCTATATTTGAAGGCCATGTATTGTAATATGTCCAAATCCAAATTTAGGAAATGTTTGGGATGGCTGCAGTTGTAGTGTTTTAAAAAGTTAATTATAAAGTTGTTATGAGAAAATAAATTGGGATTATAAATAGTAGCTTTTCAGCATTAAAAAAAAAGAAAAAGTAAAAAAAAATTGTAGAAAAATAAAATTATATTTACAACTAATAAAAAATTTGTCCCAAATAGAGGTAGGGTTGTTTTGTGCGGATATTGAACGCTATTTGGAGATCAACCAAAATACATCACGTCACTCTCTACTCGGTAGCCGGCTCGGTACTGTTCAGTACCGTTGACATGACGCATTATAATTGATCTGTGGACAGTGAACTGTGTTCGGAGTCCGCATAGAATAATTTGTCCGCGCAAGGATTGCTTGACTTGAGTGGGATGGCTGGCTGCCCATTCAATCAGTTATGGCATGTCAATTTATTCTGTAAAATTAAACAAAAAGTTAAATTGAATAACATGAAATAAGTAAAAAAATTATTTTATTATTTTTACAAAATATTTTAAATTAGGGGATATAAGAATTGTTTTTTAAATAATTCTATTAAAAATATAATTTAGGTAGATAAAGTTATTAATTATTTTAATCGTTACCTTAAATTATAGAAGTAGTGAGGCACTGAGGCAGATGAAAAGTTCTAGCTATTTTTAAGGAAGATCTTATTTTTTTTTTAATTCAAGAAAATAAAATTGTTATTTTACTATATAGATTAATAAAATTAAAAATAAATTTTAAATCTCTTTTTAGTTGAATAAAAATATATGGTATTTATTTAATAAATAATTATAAATTTAATTATATGTTATTAATTATAAAACTAATAAAACATTAGTAAATCTCTAAGAAAATTATGTCTTTCTATTTTAAATCTTCCCAAATATAAAAAGCCCAAAGTAGTCAGAAAAAAATCGCGAGCCTTTCCAACCTTTGGTTCTGCTTTGTGAAGAGATGTGAGTAGCTGTCGATCTTAGGTGTTTTCGCTTCAAGTCTCCAATCTTCCATCGTCCGATGTCCTGATTGCACGAATCTAATCTAAATCGAGGCTGAGACGTATTTCGCCGGTTTTGAAAATAGCGAAATTGATATGAGGACACATTTTTAAAAGGACAAATAAATAAAACTGAATTAAAAAAAAAAAAAAACTGATGCCAGTCGTTAACTACTGGCTTTGGTGAGCTGGCAATTTGTCCACCGTGATGGGCTTGGCTGGTGTGCTGGCCGGTTTGGCGGCAGGGTTAGGCGAGCGGGCCAGGTATGCGGGCCTGTTGGGTTGGTCATGAGTAGCGGGTTATCAATTATTAATTGCATTATATGCTATGAAGTAATTATTTTTAAATAACTTATAGTTATTTATTGGTGGAGTTGATGTGAATGATTATTTTAAGTGGGGTAATTATATTATTTAGAAATGAAATAATTGGGAAGGAGCTTATGAAGATGTAATTATATTGGTGAACCGTATAGTTGTTAATTAATTTGAATTAGAAAATTTTAACTATGTATTACTTCGTGATTTAAATAAATTAAATGTTTAACATATGTGGGTTAGTACATTATTAGGGAATTAAAAATTGCAAAGAAAAGTCAATTCATTCACAAAAAAAAAAAATGATGTTGTTTGTGAAATATAAAGTCAATATATTTTGTATGTTCCTATATTAATTTAGAGGCGCATATTTTCAATTTGATTGACATTTTAAGATAAAAGCGCAAAATTAAATGATGTATTTTGTGAAATATAAAGTTAAGATGATAGATATTTCCCTCATAGGTTTTTTTTTTTTTTTTTCATATTCATCATTATGATATAGATTTCGCCAACAAGTGCACTGGTAATTCTTTGATGGTGTGGAGTCAGGCAAATCACGTGAGCATGGACATGGGAGGCTAAGCGGGCAGGGTCGTTCTAGGCAGAAGTGCGGGCTGTATAAGAACTGGGACAAGTCACAGGAGATGAATCGAGCTAGCAAAGTCCTGTTATACATTTTGAGGTGGCGTCAAGCAAATCAGCAAGCAAATTAGGTTTAGTGTGTTTGAGCAATGGATCAAGAACGACAAGATCATGAACCTCGGGGCGACAGGTTTGTTGCAGACTCGAAATCAGATCGGGTTGTGTGAAGTCATAGGCTGGAGCACGGATGGGTGTCTGGGGAAGACTGGCAAAATGGAATGTGTTAGATGATAGAGCGTGAGCGTGTCGTGAATGAGCATATGTGTGGTCGGAAGCACATAGGAGCATACAATGTAGAAGGTATGGGCGTGCGGATCACGGGTGGAACAGCGAGAGCGCAATCTGGAGCAGTGGATCGGAACACATAGTGGAGACAGTTTGCGAGCGGGATAGAGCTTGATTCAACGGGATTGCTCATGGATATAATGTAGGGAGCCAATTAGATTGCCATAGGTGCACATGTGGCTCTTTGATGGCAAAATCTGGATCAAGATGAAGATTGTTGTGTATTGGTCTAGATTTTACGTTAGGTTGATCGCATTGACAACTTATCCATAAAAAAAATCTCTATAAATAGATATTGTATGTACTCTTATAAATTACCCCATATTGTATAAACCTAAGTAATAAAAGGAAATCTAATTTCTTGTTATCTCTCTATCCCTCTCTTCTCTTTGGAAAACTATTCTTGCAACAAAACAGAGAAATCAAGAAACTAGAATTGTG